GTAAAAAGTAAAACTAGACGCAGGTCTAGTTACGTGTCGAAAGTAAAAGCAAGGGAATGAGTTTCGATGACGGTTTTGACCGACATTTGTGTGGTTTTTAATTGTACTAAAAGCCCTGAAGTGACGCAGAGCTGGCCTGGGCTGAAACACGCTTCACATCGCGCTCTGACTCTCGCTGACGAGCGGCCGCTCCAGGTGACTCTGCAGCACAGCGTGGAGCAGCGTGTTCGCCTCGGGGACACGAGTGCAGCCGGCGTCACCCACAGGCACCGTGTGACGGGCGAGACCGCTCCAGGAGTTCGGGTTTGGCCACGTTTATCCACCCGACAGTGCACAAAACCACGGCTAGGATAAGACATGCTCTTTCTAGATGCCTATGCTGGGCGTACGGGTCATCACAAGGACCCCACTGCGGCTCCCTGGCGTTCAGGCGGGGCTGGCAATGACACACACACTTCAGAGGCCTGAGCTCCGCATCACGGAAAGGGTTGCAGCAGGTACTAATGGTGTGGGAAGAGAATCCGTACATCAGCCTAGAACAAACATGCTGACTGCCGAGATCCCTCAGCACACAAACATACAACAACTGTCCCATCGTAGCTGCCTTTTTCTTTCCTTCCCGTCCCACGTCAGCGTCCCACGTCAGCGTACTGTCCCGGTCCAGGTCAGGCGGTGATTTCTTTCCATGTACTGTTATAGCATGTGCTAGTTATGAGGGACGCAGAAGCTGTTACACACATGTATTAATTGAGCACTCAGCTAAATACATCTATATTTTTATACCTCTATAGTCCGCATCTTGTGTTTCTTCCAAACGATTAAACATCATCACACTGATCCCTTTCCGCTCGCCAATAATATTGGACTATAATAAAAAAGTAGAAATTTTATGGTCCTATTTTCTTGAATTACGTCGTGTTTATGCCATCTTTAGGCTTACTGAAGTCTGCAGTAAATCTTTTTATTTGATTCCCCGCAGCTGATTGGCCGCGGCTGAACACACACTAGGAGGTCAGTAAGCATGGAGTAGGAGCTTGATGAGTGACCGTCGGCATCATGCAGCTCAGATTTCACGCTGCCTTTAATTGTGCTACCAAGCTTAGCATCCTGTGGTCTGCAAAAGGCTTCTGCCTCTGTTTCCTCATAAAAAAACTGGGGTCAAATATGCCCTCTGCCTCGCTGGGTATATTGTTAACAGAATCCGGGAGAGGAAGGGCCACCTCCCAGCTGCACAGCCACACTGCCCGGTGCCGGATGCTCTTTCCAGCTAGTTTGAGTTCCCGACGGGAAAGACATGTTTGTAGTTGACCATCCTGATGACAAGCGCTTGCTTTTTCTTTTTCCTCTGTCAAGGAACAAAGCAAGTGGCAGGCTTCTATGCCATCTGTGATTTATATATCACAAGGCTAAAAATGTGGTCACATCTTGACACGACAAATTCGGGGTCCAAGTCTGGAAGACAACGGGTCTTCATGGCTGCCCGCCGGGACTGTGCCTGGGGCCGCGTGGCCCTCACATGCTGCTGGCCCGTCTTGAGCGCATGTAGGTCATGCCGCCCCCTGACCTACATCAACCACTGTGGGAAAGCAACTGTAAATGCTTTATGGCATCACAGATGGTCCTTTAAGGCCCAAGTGGATAAGGGGGGGTGCCTCATTGTAACCCCTGCTAGCAGTCTGGAGTGAATATGAAGCCCACCCGCGTTTCAGTTCCTGTGCTGCACAGCTGCCAGAGTCATCTTCCCACAGAGCGACTGGCCGCAGCCCTCCAGGCGGCACTGGACGCCAGCCCTGACGAGCCGCTCTCTGCAGCCTACCCAGCGCCCCTGCGCCGACCTCCTCCAGCGCTCCGCCTCGCTGTCGGCCCTCGACCTGCGGGCTCCGCCCGGCAGCAGCGACTGTTCCCGGCCGCCTGGAAGGTCCTGACCCAGTCGAGCTCCAGGACCAAGCCCTGCCCAGCCGTGGCTGAGTTCTGGGGGGCAGGTCCCTGAGGGGGGAGGGGCGGTCAGCGCTGGGCTTATAAAACTGCGTTGAATTAAAATCGGGAGAAGAGCCACACCGACTTGGCACGCTCGGTTAATTTATATCATTGCCAAATAAATAAATAAATAAAACAATTTGGATGAATTGGATCAAGTGTTTATGGGCTAATGGACTCCTTAGACCCTTTTAGTGGTGGTTTTCACTCCAAATGGGTCGAGTTGCTGGGTTTGTAAAACGCGGCCTCGGTAGAGAGGGCAAGAGAAATAGCAGCTTTATCACCACAGACGTTCCCATTTAAGCTTCAAAGCACAGCTACCGCTGTTTCTACCCTGGCAGGCCACCTGCTGTAGCCCCACGGCACAGCTTTCAGAGCGTCGCAGGGAGTTTCCTGGAGCATGTGGTGTCCCGACGCTGACGTGTAGGCAGTGAAGGGGGGCTCCTCTCCTCAGGACACCGCATGTTAACTCCATTGGTAACTTTCCTTCCCAGAGATTTGGGGGCTCACGTGACAGTGTGGGGTCTGTGTCACAAGGTGAGGCAGGAGCTCCTTCCGCGGAGCCCGGCGTCCACCGTGAGCCGGCCCAGGACGCGGGCCTGAGCGTGACGCGGGCCCGGCCCTCTCTGGCTCCGTCCCGACGCTGTTTCATTCCTTACTGTGCTGCGCCTGCCTAGGCCCCGACGGCGCCCCGATGTGTCCTTTAACACCCGAGCGGGCCCGAGGCGCCACCCCGGCCTCTCTGCGCCCCGACCTGACTCCCATTCCCAGAGCCGTCCACAGCCGCTTAAACAAAAGGCATTCCCTCAGCAGAGCGGCTCCTGCGTGGCTCCCTGTCACGCACTTCACTTCTCCCTGAGACTCTTCCCCGGACACACGATCTCCAAGAGCAGGCGGTAGGCAGCACGTGCTCCCCTCCACCTCTCACTGGCAGGAAGGGGGCTCACGGCGTGTGGCCTCGGGGCACCCAGGCCCCGCCAGCTCGGGTAGTGGACAGAGGGGAGAAGAGGTTTCCTTTCCACGGTAGCTTTGAGGCTTTCAGGTATTTTAAAGCAAGAGGCACGTCTGTGGGTTACTCTCCACACGCTGACATCGCCAAGCCCCTCTCTGCCCTAGACTTTCCCTCTCTTCTCAGTAGAGCCAACTTTATTTTTCTACTTTAGAGCTTGTTAGCACCATCTACAAGCCAGAGCCCGGTTTTGCATGACTTGAATAATGAGGGTTTGCATGGAGAAAGGGTCAATTCTGGACTTCTCAGGGGCAAAAACAGCTTATATGTGGAGAGGGAGAGAGCAGTTGTCCCTCACTGACAGGCCTATGAGGAGGGTCACGGGTATTTACTGATAGAAATGATTGATATCAAGCTACTGTGATGTCTAATAGACAAAAACAAGAGTTCATATAATTTTACCAGGGCCATTAATTTCTCTCTGGTACACTAAAAATAAAGAGAGGGCTCTTTGTATGAAGAAAAACCAACATTTGATTTTAGAGACTTTTTTTTTTTAACATTACACATCTGGTCACTCCAAATTATTGTTTATAGATAATCCCAGAATGATAATTCTGGATATCCTTTGTGTGTTCAGGTGTGATACTTTTGTGCCATGTTTACTTGGTTGTGTCTTATGACATCCTTGGCATGAAATCTGTCCACTGTGTTGAAGGAATTATCAAGGCAAGGTCACAGAAACATCCAAGTCACAAATTAGAGGAAATGAGTTTAACATGATCTAAATATTTTGCCTATATAACATAGCCATTAACAGTTAAAAATAAAATTATTTCATGAGATGGGAATAATGCAATGGGTAATTATTACTTATTTATGTAGTCTTCACTGCAAAGAATACCGGGATAAAAGGAGCCACTTGGAGGAAGTGGTCACATTTTGGCTACAATGGCAAAAGCAGCATAGAAAAATCATTTTTGCCATTCTAGTGATATAAGTTCATCAGATGATAAAGTGAGGAGGAGTCTTAGAGACGAGCTGAGCTCTCACTTGACTTCGCCGTGGGACCAGCGCCCCAGCACACGCTGATGCCTGCCTCATGCTGCACAGCTCCCTGGGGCTCAGCTGGGCCCTGGTCCAGAACATTGGGACTTTGGACCTGGACCACGCAGCCTGCAGTGGCTTCACGTCGGGGCTCACCACAGCGGGGTGTTCCAGTGTCTAGAGGATGAGCTGATAGTCACAGGCGTGGCTGCATCTTCCGCTGGATGTACAGTCCTACTTTGTGGCTCTGCCTTGTAGGCCGTGTGGCGGGGCGGCGGGGTGTTCCAGCCAGCCCCCACGGAGCGGTCGTTTCTCTCTTTCCCTCTGCCACCCTCGCCCCACCCTCTTCCTCGCTTCTGTCCTGGGCACCTTGAAGTCTTACAAAAGACGGTAGTGTTTTTGTTTTTCACTTCTTGATTGAGTCAAGGTGACAGGAAGGCTCGTACACTTGACTCCAAACATTCCCTGCTCCATTCCGTTGCTCGCCCATGGAGATAGGCGCATGAAAGAAGATATCGAAAAGAAAAGGTCTGGTGTCAGGAGACGCGTGGGCCTACGGCTGCTGGGTATTCCTACCCGTGGCCGCTTGGCTAAGCCGGCGGCTTTTGAGAAATTGAAGAATTTCCCGAGATTAGTACTTCTTGAGGGGGGCAAATCGGCTCATTGATTTGCTGTATTATAATTACTGTGACGAATGCTTGAGGTAAAACATATGCACTTTATGTAGGAACATAACTTTAGACAAGTAATGTGCAAATATTGATAAAATTAAGGAAATAAAAGTTGCAAAGAGATCAGATTTGTCCAGCTGCTTACTGGGGTTTTAAAAAGAATTATTACTATCAGTTGGCATAATTAAAATAGTTTTCATAGTAATATAAATAATAATAGTTTTAATTTAATGCAAATTTTAATTGAAATCATTTCCCCCCATTTTCCTTAGCATTTCATAGGTGAGAACGATTTGATACTTGAATATAAATGCTAAAATTATTGTTATTGAAAAAGTAAAAGCGCATTAACTTACGGCCCGGATGCTTTCAAAATGTCCGCCTTCTTTCTCAAAATCGATGGGCTGGCCTTTTAGCGTCCAGTGGAAAGTGACGTCCAGACTGGCGTCGTGAATCGCTTTGCAGTTAAGGACAATACTTTCTCCTACTGTTAGCTCTGTTCTCTTAGGAGTAAGTTCTATCCTCGTGGGTTCTGTAGAAATGAAAATACGTTAACTAACAACCCACACCTAGTATATCTGCATTATTTAGTTAATGTATTTTTTTATGACTTTCCATTTATGTATGCACACAAGAGCTGGGGTGCAGGCCAGAGGTGTGCGGACTCACCAAACAGAGAGTGGGGAGCAGAATAGGTAGATGTACCTGTTATACTCTGGGAGGGGGCAGCGGGGAGACAGGGGTGCCCGCTGCGCCATGTGGGGTCCCTCCCTGGCTGGGGATCAAACTCGGCTGCTGCTAGCTTCATCGTGCTGGGACTTAACCCCTTGCACTGCTTGGGAGGCCCCAGTCTGCATTATTTCGAAAAATAAAGGAAAAAAGAAACAAACAGGGGTCCATGCCGTGCAATCATTTCAGATACATCTACTGGATTTTCCATGTGTTGAGATAAACTATTCAACGTTAGCTACTCCATGCTAGGACCTTTCACTGGTTTTACTTTGTGTGTGTGCGAGGGGCCAATGATTTAAAAGTCCCTGTGTCTACTAAGGAGTGAGCTTGATCATGAAGGATGAGATACTACGCAGCTGGGGACCTCCTTTGGCATTCGGGAAGGGGGACAGTTATGAAGAAGAAGCTGTAGCCTCCCTATCTACCTTCGAGAAATATCAAATATAAATAAAAGGATTTTATTTTTACAATTTAAAGGGTTATTTTGAGACTCATATCTAAGGAGGGAGAAATCTTTTAAGGATCTTGGACGCATCTCCCTTAAATTACTATCTTAATTTTTATTTATTTTTTATATTCATTACTCATCCTTCATTTTTGTACAATGAGAAAAAGAGGAAAGAGGCTGGGAGGCTGCCTGGGTGTGCTTCACTCTGCAGAAGCTCTCCGCCCGCCGGAGCAGGACCAGAAGAGGTTCCTGGCTGATCCTCAGATGCCACTTTTGATAAATTGAGGGTGATATAATTGAGCGCTAAAAAGAGCAGAAAACTATTGCAGGGGAACATTTTTGAAACAAAATGTTAATGTTCAATGACTTAACGATTCCGTTAAGTAAAAGATGATCCAGTTCCAGGAAGGAGCGAGGCTTCCCCGGGGCTGGCGAGGAAGGGCTGATGGGCGCCCGGACGCCAAGCTGGGCGGATGGAGGCGCGCGGGCTCCTCTCGCGGGTCAGTGAGACCGGCCAGGGGTGGCAACCGGGCTCAGCGTCCTTGTCCCCGGGCCGCTGGTCCCGCGCAGCCTCCGGACCCCGGGGCCCCCTGAGATCCTGCAACCTGCACCTTCGCCTGGGCGCTTCCCGAGAGCGGCCGCGGCGCGGGGAAGGAAGGTCGCCGCGGCGGGGACAGCTCAGTCCCGTTCCGTCTCCGCGGGCGGCGCCCTGCCCCTCCGTCGTGCGACTGCATTCTCGAGGAAGCCAAAGTTCCACGCACCACCGTGGCTCAGGCTGCGAAGCCTCTGCGCCCCGCCGCGCTCAGCCACAGGCGGGCTCAGACGCGCGGGCTGAGGGTGGTGCATCAGCGCTCGGTGCACAGACGCAGAAACCTGCCGGTCGCACCCTCCCCTGGCAGCTTGTGGCTCTTCTAGAAATATCAGGAGCTGGTTATTTTAGTTCTATGTCTACTTCTAAAGAACATGGAAAATGAACATCTCTGTATCTTTATAGCTGAGGTTTGCTTCACGTTGTACTACGTGCTCAAAAGGAAAACAAATAGTGGAAGCACATAGTTCTGTGGTAAAAAATAATCCTTTGCCAGCTGAAGAGATTTTGCCTCTTAAAATGTGAGGTTTAAAAAAAAAAAGTGAGGTTCTCTTAGTTCCAGCCAATGACATGTCGCCACACTTGAAGTCTAGTTAACTTTGGGGCTAGAAAAGTAACTGCAACCTGTAAGCAGCAATAGTTCCGATCCGGAAACGCCGCGTGTGACGCCTGCCCGGGGAAGGCCGCCCAGCCTCACTGCTCGTGCCGGCCACGGCCTCCTGGCCCAAGTCCCTAGCTGAGGCGGTAACGAGCAGCATTACTGATCAATGCTAAAATTAATCCTGGTAAAGGGAAAAATTTTTTTTAAAAAATTTACTTCAGGCCCTCCCTGGTGGCGCAGCGGGTTAAAGCACAGCACTGAGAATCTGAAGCCACTTCTGCATGAGTTCGATTCCCGCCTGCCGCCTGCCCCGGAGGAGACCACATGGCGAGCCAGACCTCTCCTGACCCGCCCGCTGCTTCCCTCAGCAGCGTACTTCGTAGATCTGCCTGTTCTGCTCCCCACTCTGTCTCTGGTGAAGCCTCTCACCGCCCCTGAGCCTCTGGCCTGTACCCCAGTTCTGTATGAATAAATAAATAAATCTTTAAAAAAAAAAAATTTACTTCACTTATTTTTGCATACAGGAACTGGGGTGTGGGTCAGAGTGCGGAGGTGAGAGGATCCACCAGACGCAGAGTGGGGAGCAGAACAGGCGGATCCACTGAGCCCACTGTGGAGGGGATTGAGGGCACAGCGAGGACACAGGAGCGGTCTGCTGTGCCCCGGGGTCACTCCCTGGCCGGGGGTCGCACTCAGGCCGCACAGGCTGGCCACAGCTTGATAGCGCTGAGACTTTAACCTCTGCACTGCCAGGGAGACCCAAGGGGAAAAGACCTTAATACTGTGGGCATACTTTTAAGCCTTGAAACGCTAACTAAAACTTCGCAGTTTCTTTTATCCTCTCACATCTTTTGTTCACTATGCAACATCTCAGTTTTTACCACAAGGTTGCTTTCTTTCCCCGAGCGGTGAAAAGGGTCAGCTGGGCCGCATGAGTCCTCTGTCCGCAATGTCACGCCAGGAGCATGCACACGTGTGCAGACACACACACAGACAGGCAGGCACTATCGGGCAATGTCACGAGACCTTGTCACGCCAGGAGCATGCACACACATGCAGACACACACACAGACAGGCAGGCACTATCGGGCAATGTCACGAGACCACACTTACGAGGCAGTTAACCACGTTTTCTTACCTTTGACCGACACTGAAGCTATGATTTCTGCAGAACCAAAGACATTCTCCCCTTGGCAAACGTACTTTCCCTCGTCTGATTTAGAAGCGTTTAGGATCCGTAGACTCCCGTCTGGAAGAATAGCTATTCTGAAAATTATTAAAAAGGTGTTTTGGTTTGTTTTGTTTTGTCCGGTTTTACAGCAAACCAGCCAAGTGGCAACAAACAGATGAGATCCTAAGCCACCTCCCAGGTGACCATACCCAAGATAAAGGGCCACTGTGAGACGGTCAGCCATAACAGAAACACTTCACCGCTCAAGAAATTATGCGATCAGTCCACTCAATGGCTTCTGATACTTAAAAGGGCTAAGAACGTCCAGGTTATTCTCCGTTTGACACTTTCTGACAGCTATTTCTCAGACTTGCAGAGGAAGGTGACCCTGAACTTGGTTATTAAAACTTACGCTAGACTATCACCGAGATTTTAACATGCAGTTGGATATCGCACCGCAGCCCAAGAGTGACGTCAACAATCAAATATAAAAAGAAACAGCATAAACACAGAGCATGAGATTGACTGGACGCGGCCGTCGGTGCTTGTGGGGGTTTCTTCACAGGGTCTCCGTGCAGCTGGTGCAGGAGTGACACGTGGTGCCCACCTGGGGCTGTTCTCGCTGCACTTGCTAGACGTGTGTCTGTGATGTCTGAGTTCGCAAGGGGGCTCTTTCGAGACCTTTTAAAAAAGTGGACCTTGAGGCTTATGTGAAGGAGAAAAATTAAAGCATTATTAAGAATTTTTAGAAGTTCATTGCAAATGAGGTTGACATTTGGAATTACCGTGTTCTCCGTGTATTCATCACTCCAGAAACAGAAGGATTTCCCATGTAATTACTACTTCTGCCCTTGTCTCTCTTCTGTGCTGCTGAAATGGAGCCACTGCTGGGCCAGGGCAGCTGACGTGAGCGCCAGCGTCTGGAAGGACTTGTCAGGACAGAGGTGGTAACAAACCAGTCACAAGGGAACTTAATGTCGTACAGGGGTTCTCCTAGTCCTGAGAATCATCGTTTATTCCATGGCAATATGATGCACCATCTAAGATACCAGCTAAATCTGTTTAGTCAACGCCCTTCATGTGATTTGAGGATGTTGCTCTCACTGTGCCAGCCACCCGGAAAGGATGGTTATTGACAGGCTGGGCTTGGTGGCAATCGGGTTAGCTGCCGTGCAGCTGAGCGGTGCTTATGAACCCGTGTTTACATATTGCCATCAATGAAGATGTCAGCTCGAAAGCATCACCGAGTTTTCAACATGGATCAAATCTGATTTACTGTGAGTAAGGAGGGGCAGATTTAGCAACACGCCAAACTGGGACAGATAATTTGATTTTGTGATTCAGGTCAGGAAGAGACACTGACCCGAGACATTCGGGGGACACAGCACCTTCAGAAGACATCAAACCTATTCAAGATGCGTGGTGAAAAGTGTTGCTCGTCATTTAGCTAGGGCTCACTTTCTACAAGAATGGGATATCTGCTCCGTTTCCTTCCCAAACACACACACACACTATAAGAAGACACATTTGAAAGGAAATAATTTACTTGTTATAAACAAGGCCTTCTTTAATGAGAACTACAACCCTTCCTGAAATCTAGTTAAGTTCTCACACACTCAGCCGATCATTATAATCTTGAAAATATTTGAATTTTACTGACTGGCAAATCTAGCAGGTAAGAAATTGTTTTGAAAGAATGGTAGATCTTAGGCACTCACAGTACGTTGGCTCTGGATTTAAGGTAAGTCCTTTCTCACTGATGGGCTGATGTTCTATCCCGTGTCAATATGGTTTATAAACTCCCTTGTGCTTTTGGACACCAACCCAGTTGGGGGAGGAAGACTTGTGAAAACCACGGTGTCTTTATCGGGCAAGTGTTAGGGTCATTTGTCCAGAAGTCTGTCTACTGATTCTAATCGGAAATCCTTATCCGATAAGTCCTTTTTTTTTTTTTTAATTTAGAAAAGAAAAAAAAAAAAGACAGGTCAGGTGATGAATGACACACATTACAATGCCTGGTTATTGTGCACGTAATTACTTCCTGACTGAATTATGAATTAATACTTTGCAATTTCCAGCTTCGTTTTCTCTTCTACCATTACCACATGGCTTTGCAAATTTTGGGGGTCAATTATGCTATGACTTTCTTGAATGGGGAGGTACAGTTGTGTTGGGGCTGGAGAGAGAGTGGAGAGCCATCCAGGAGCACTGCTGCATGCAGCAGCAAGCCATGCTCACTTTATTCTGGTTCCTCAACCTCTCCAGGAGTTTCCGTGTAGACCTGAAGATGTCTTAGTTCTCACCTTGTAACTAATTACTGGATTGCATCTTGTTAGTCGGCCCCTACCACAGTCTGCCTACAGTAACACTGGGCTTACCCCTATCCTGGAAGGACTCATCACCACATTCTTGAGCTACAAACCTTAGGCCATGTTCTCACTTGTCATTTCTGTGTTGGGTTTATCTGTCAGACACCACATAACCCAGTTCGGTTCTTTTCAAATAGATGGCTTGCTTGGGAGTAGCATGTCTACCTCCTGCTGTGCTATTTAGAGATCGTGCTCTGATTCTCTATGAGACTTATTTCTGGCATCAGGCCCTGGTGAGTATCACATTATATAGCGTCATTAATCATTCAGACTCTGTGCTTTAAAGTCAGAGAGGATCGAGTTCAAATCTCTGCCACTAATTAGTATGTGGGTGATCTTAAGCAGTTACTCAATAACCTATTTTCTACTTTTGCAAAACTATATCAAACTACTTAAAATATGATTTGTGATGAATTTTGAGGAGGAAAAAAGTAAAACATCAAAGAAAGTGCTTCATGTACAAACCTCTGCTATTTAGGGTGTTTGACAAATGTCTCCTGGGTAGTAACATCTGAGCTGAGCGTCAGGGAGGAAATTCTTGGGTAAATCATAAGACAGTAATGACTGAGTCATCTGGTTTATGGTTACATTTAATATTTTAAGAAGCTGGTTCTGCAGTTCTCTGACCTTATAACACACACTCAGTCTATCTGATTGTGTTTGTGATTTATAATGGCTCACACACAGACTTCTATATGCACAGACTTCTATACTGCTGTACTGGGTATATTTTAAACAGATGATAATTAGAAATTAAAAGTAAAAGTAAATGAATTATGCTATTTTCTTCCTCCAATTTCTGAGTGGGAATGAATTATTCAGACTTCTATTTGGAGAGTAGAACTTTCATCTTAGAAAATCACCTATCTTTGCTAGTTGGGCACCTACCTTTTATCACTTCTACCTGAAAATCTTTGTTAATCCTCAGTAGTTAGATTGCCTTTGTATTTTTTGTATCCTCAGAACTCTATTATAGAAAGTGCCATTTTTTCCTGAGACTACATAGAGCTGGAAGGCTTGAACAGCATTATTGGTCCAACAGTCAAAAAATAACCAGTGTTGAAAATAATACCAAGTAATATTGTCATGGTTATCCAAGCTCAATTTACCCCTTCCTGTGTTATACAAGAACATTAACATCACGACAATATAATACAAATGTTACTATTATATTACCTTCAATGATAATCATACATATTAGTTCAAAATATTTCATCCCAAAAGTACCTACCCCAATGGGTTATAGATGCTTCATGATAAAAATCTGGGATGAAGTCTTCTGAAAATAAGAGATGCTGGGGTCTGCAAAGGTCTTAAAAACAGTTCTGCTATGGTGACCACTCACTGGCCATGTTCTGTGTGCCAGGTACACACACATCCTCTTGCACACTCATTCACACAATGCTCCTTACCACTCTGTGACCTGAAGTTAGTCTCATTTGCAGGCAAGAAAACTGATCATCATTGTGGCTCCGTTCCAGGCAAGCCCCACAGCCCCGGCTGCTGCCAGGTGCCTGGACAGGCTGCTGGCTTGTCTGTCGGCCTCTTCCTGACTAATCAGAGACTCCTGTGTGTTTGGTCTCTAAAAACTCCCCAGTACTTGGTCCTCAGAAAATGGGCACTGAATTAAACCGAGATGTGGAGTCATGCGAGTCACTGTTTGAGAGGTAAGCTGGCACAGTTTGTTTGCTAATGCCTATTAAGCTCCTACTGTTTGCCAGGCCCTGCCCAAAACTTTCAATAAATTATTTTAATTTGTACAAAGATGCTAGGATACATTATTATGTTTGATTTAGGAAGAAGAGGCACAAAGGGTTGATAGAACCCCAGGACTTCGGACCAGCCTTGAACTGCACTTTTATCTGCTTTATGTGACCTAAAGTAAATGGAAAAAAAAAAAAAAAGGCGTGGAATGGGGAGCCCCGATCAGCCACAGAAGTCGGCAGAATGGAAAATTAAGAGTAGGAAGAGAAGATCCAGATGCTAGCACATGCTGGAAATGAGAGACATGCATATTCCTTAACTTGATCAGTAAGATTCTGAAAAAGCCCCAGGGGGCCATGTTGTCACCAGTTCTACCCGTCAGACATGGGTTAGCAGGAGGAAAAGGGAGGTGACCCAGAAAGTCTGACAGCAGCCTGGAGGGAGGAGAGGGAACACTTACTGCAGGGCTACCTTCACTCACGGGCCTCCCCCTCAGGCCCTGGGCCTCCCTGCTCTGGAACATCCGGAGGAAACCACAGAGCTTCTGTGCAGAGGACGGAGAACTTTAGACTGTCCGGTACTAAAGGGAGGGTGAGGGGTGGTCGCCTCTGCCATCATCAGGGAATCAGAAGATCCCAGAACAGAGCCCCTTTCTGACAAGGCTCTCCACCAGGCTGGTGCGGACCAACAAACTTCACACAGTGCTGAACCCTCCCTTCAGCCCAGGCCACACCAGAAGATCCTATTTTCCTGCACTTATGTGGGAAATTCTGTGTTTATGTGGGAAATTCTGTGCTTATGTGGGAAATTCTACTGTGTGGGGGCCCTACCTATCCTGGTGGGGAGATAGCATATAATTTTGCTCCGTTTCCCAAGGGGGGTTGTGAAACAATGGTGAGAGCCACCCTAAAGCCCATTGTGTTATAGCTGAGGTAACTGCCCAGAGAAGGGGCATCTAGCTTATCACTTTTGTAAGCTTGGGCTATCACTCAGACTATAAACCCTGCACTATCATATACTTT